AGTTTATTGGCCAAACTTTGCTTATTATTTAAGGTGAACTTACAATGCAACATCATTATTGTCTTGAGGTAGTTAATTGTTCCTTTAGAGATATTTGGGATATTAATCCCCTATTTGAAGGAGCTACAATAATTTTTGGTAGAGATTTTTGCCAAATATTGCCAATGATTGTGAAAGAAACTTGAAAAGAAATTGCAGCAATGTCTTTTTGACATTCAACACTTTGGCCTCAAATAAAAATCCATACATTAAAAGAAAACATGAGGTTGAATTCAAGAGTACTTCAAGCAAATATCAAGTTTTTTAATTAGCTTCTTCAAGTATAGAATGCATATACATTGTATATATTAATGGTGGTACATTTGGATTTTGTATGGTTGCATTATTATTGACTAATATTTTTATTTGTCACTTGCTAGATTGAAAATGGTACAAATTTATTGCTTGATAATGTAGTTATGCTTCATGATTACATGATTTTTGATCAACAATTAATGTTATTAGTTGATGTTATTTATCTAAGACTGGCAAAAGATGGTGTAGCAAATGATACCTTCTTAAGAGATAAAATACTTTTATTTGCATGGAATGATGATATAGAATGTATTTATGAAAAGATTATGGCCATATTTCTTAGAAAAGAACAAGAATATCTAAGTGGTAATGAAGTTGTTGTCAAAGATGGTGTCTACAATAATAATGTTTATTCAATCAAATTCATCAAGTCACTTAATCCATCTGGAATGGCCAAATCAAGGCTTTGTCTTAAGATTGAAACTCTAGTGATGCTACTAAAAAATATTGCTCCTTGCTAAGAACTTTGCAATGGAATCTAGTTGATAATTATATGATTAATAGATCAAGTTTTTTAAAAAAGAGTTTTTAGAAGAAAATTTGTTGAGAACTTGGTGTTCATTTTGTTGATTATATTAACTTCTATAACAAAAGAACTTTTGTTCATTCTAAAGTAAAAGCAATTTACAATCCATCTTATATTTGCTATAACAATAAACAAATTCCAAAGACAATTGATGAAGCTTGTTGGTTTGGATCTACAACAACCTATTTTTCTCCATGGTTAACTTTATGTAGCACTCTCTTGATATACTTCCTTCCGTTCTATCAAGATTCTTCTTTCTAGAAACAAAAATTTTAATTCTATGTTGAATATTGTTTTCTTGAAAGTTTTAATTAGATTAATATTAGTAATTTATTTTTTATATTTTTTATTTTAATTTATTTATTTATTAAATTTAATACATCTTTGAATGTCTTAACTTCTTTTATGATTTTTCAATGTAATTTAATTTTTATATTTTTAGAAGTAATTATTTCAATAAAATGAACTACTTTTTTTACATATTATCTAAGACAATGGCATGGATTTACAAATTCTACTTTGTAGCTGAGAGCTTCATTATGTATTTTATTCTTTTCTAATTTTATTATATTATATTATATTTGTATTTGAATTTTCTTTTTTTACTTAAAAATTGCTTCATTTGAGTCATAGTTTCCTTGATATGACATGAGTTCAGCTAATATAAATAAATATATATATATATATATGTAGATGGAAGAATAATAAAGCAACCCTGACTTTTGCTAAAGCGATTCAGCCCCATTGTACCCATCGTGTCAACACCCTCTTTGTTCATAGCCCCTGCTCCCTTTGTTCCCAACTTTCATTCCAACTTCTCTAGTTCTCAACCCCCGCTTCCTCTTTTCCCATCCATTCCCGGCCTCCTCGCCCAGCTTAGTCACCAGCTCTTATCTCAACCTTATTCCAGCTCTCATCTCATGTGCACGTGTTCATGTCTTTCACATGGAGATTTGTTTAAGAGATGATGGTTTTACAAATATGACAAAAAGTTATTACTCTCTTAATAGAGACTTGATAAGAGTGGGTACCATAAACGACATGCGTATTACTTTCTCAACTTGTTGAGCATCAACAAATGCTTTCACTTTTCCTCGATCCTCGAACATCACCTCCACACCAGCACCTGTTTTGGATTAGTGATATGTAAGTACAATACAACCCACTTCTATTTTATTTCCAACATATACCTGCAAGTTTAGAAACAATTGTTGTTAGGAGGTTACAAAATTGCCTCCACACAGACTTCATCTATTAGTGCCAAAATCACACAATCTGTACATACAATGACAACTATACCGACTAGCATTTTGAAGTACTGTGGAACGTGAACTAGATATCATACGAAGGCCGTCCTAACTTGGCCAGCAAAATGATGGAAAGCAAGTATTCCATCCAACTACCTATGTAAAAATTTATTATGCACTAAACTGTGCAAGAAACCGGAAGAGTTTCTGACAAACCAACTGTGAAACCCATTAGAAATGCGTCCTGGCCAAAAAATTATACATGCACGTAACGAGGTATGTATCACGTTCGAGAACGCCCACCGTCAAATACTTTCTAATGTGTTGATCAACTTCAGATTGGTCCACCTGCAACATGTTCAGAAATGTCGTCAGTCCTTGATCACCTGTTCTATCCCTCATTTACACACAAAGAAAAGGATAAACTAGGTAGAACCAACAGTGAAACGAGGTCAAATAGGACAAATATCAGGTCCTTCAATATAAATTGTACACTGTGGTTGAAAGAATTCTGTTCACAGCACGAGCGCAACTCAATAATGATCAGATAAATCGAGGAAAATAGGCAGAACACAATGCAACGCGAGAAACCATGCCCAATTTCGGAGCCTGAAAAGGGTAAGAACGAAGATATAGACTTAGAACACGTGAACTTTTCTGCTTACGCTATTTTATAGTATGAGAATATGATCGTAGAGCGGATGAAGTCCTGAAGTGCTCGTGAATTATTCCCCAGACCTTCCGAGCCCTTTGCCGGTCTTAGGTTCAAGAACCGAATTACTGCAACTTCCACCATGCACGCGCACACGTTCCAACATTTTGGTCCATGATACTAAAAATTAATGTGGATCACAACTGCAGCCTCGAGCACAGGTCTTTGTATCATCGGGACTAACTAGCACATACCATGCCTGACTGTAGAAATCGGATCTTCGCTCCTTCGCATTTCGACTATTCTGTTCAACGACCAATTTATGGTCTCGGCTTTGAGAGGCAATCAAACCATTGATAAAATCCAGAAGAGAATGACTAAACCCAAGAAAGTAAGGTCGACGCCGGCGACGCTCGTTAATCTTCCGTATAGTTTTTGCTATCATGTCGTCATATAGATCAGTATCCATGTCCTTCTCAATGTTGGTCAGAAACTGATTCATTTCGTATGCCACTGCGATTGTCACGAGATGACAACAGTTATCTCAGATAATTAAGCACGTTTCGATACACTTTGCCATCAAATTAAGAGATGACTAAATTTAAACATGAAACGGGTTGACGTGACTTACATCATGACTGACACTCAACTTGAGCTTGTTATCAGAATAAGGGCGTTCAAAAAGGCCCAACTGGAACTTGTCGCGCAGGATGGGTGGATGGTACCATGTCCAGGCCTGCTTGAATGGCAGTGTATACAGAGTGCGTGTAGTTAAATCGTTACGAGGGAGGTTGAGATGAGGGCCAGAATGAGGTCGGGATGAGGGCTGGTGACGAAGCTGAGAACGGATGGGAAGATATAGACACACCAAAACACACTAGAAAGGTTTTCTTAATGTTGTAGTGGAAGGAAATGGAAAGTGGTCACTACGTTTTATTGTAACATGACTAATTATCTGTGTACAATAAAGATAGAAGATAGTATTTCTGGTTTTTTTTCTTCTTTTTTTTTTTTTTTTTATAATTTTTTATTACAATGAATGCTTTTGCATCAGCATTTGACTTGGAAACTTATTGGATGTCAGTAAGTGTACCGCAAAGCTAGTTTGAAAATATGGTTTCATAAAAATTAAAATATTATTTTGTAAGGTGTGAATAAAAACCACTGATGTATGCACATGCCATGACCAGTGATAAATGACAATATTATTATAATACATTATCATTATTTAATAGATTATTGCATATGCATGTGTAATATCAAACATTTAACCCATATAAACTTCATTGTATAAAATGTCAAATCTATGTAAATTCAAGAAAAAAATTTATATATATATCATAATTTTTATAACTTAATGTTGAACTTAAAATTTAAGAATATAAACATGTTCTTGTTATTTAGTCGTTCTTTATTTTTATTTTCATATAAATGAATTTTATTGACTTCACTCATATACATGTTTATTTATAATTATTCTACTTGAGTAAATTACACCTATCGTGTGCAAAGATGTTTATATGCATACATGAGTTATGATGAATTTGTCCACAACAATCATTTTTTAGATTTACAGATATTTATGATATCATTTGTAATGTAATGAACCATACTCTAAGTCATATTCTAAGTCAATTTTTCAACTCTGCTGATATGCCTTGTGTAAATAATACTTTTATCTATCTGAGCAATGAAAAACGAATAAAACTCTCATTATAATCTAACCTTCAACATGCATGCTTTATGATAAGCCTCCAACTTTGTCTTTCTTTTTAGTCAATTTTTCATTCCTAACTAAAAAAATACGTTTGATTGTATAAAATCACATACAGATGGTCGAATCAGGAGAAAGTAAGTTCAACAAGCTATGATGAACATCTTAATCTAAAATTTTAGGAAGTAACATACATTTCAAAATTCAGGTAATGAATATTAAGATGTCCAAATTTGGTGAAATGTAATGGCAAAGCATGACTTACGATAGAGAGCCTACAGCTGTGCTTCATGTACTGTTGTACTACTATTGCCACATGAAGAAAATGACAGTGATGGAACCTCCAAAGGGACTAAAATCACTGTGAAACCCACTATTTCAATGAATATTATTTTTAATATCATTTTTCATTAAAAAATTATAATGATAATTCAGAACTCAAAACTGCTAGGTTCACATCCAAACAATTTATGTTTAAAAGCCACACTCCATGAAAGTGCTCTCAAGTGTTCCAAACCTGCAAAACTTTCAATTCAAAGAGCTGCAAAGTCCTCATGTGGAAACTCCAAAAAATGAGGTCCCACAAAAGTTTCTTAACCATCTTGTCTAACATGACTAGCCTAAAACCAAACCCATAAATGGAATGTTAACACTCTGATTCCAATAGAATTGGGTATCATCTAAGTATAATTGAACATAACATTGTGTATTTGCACATAATCTCGAACCACTAACCTCACAACTGTATTCTGAGAATGACCTCTGCATACTCCTGGAAATGGACTACGAACTAGCTTTTAAATAACAACTATGAAAGAAACTTTGGAGGATGGAAACAAAAATTCAAGAAACTCTAGTATTCACGCCACCATACCCAGACATGGATGAAGTTAGAAGTTTCAGGATCCCATTCTATGATACACCAGCCGCAGTAGTCCATCCACTTATCAACTGCTTTAGCTAACGGCTCCACTCACACAGCTTTCTTAGATTTTCTTGCACATTCTAGCAGCAGTTGAGATTTGTAAACTGTAGACCATCCATATGAACACTACGACACACCACAAAAATGTGCGCACAAATCTAACCAATATCTACACCAACATAAGAATATGATCTTTACGTTAAGCTTGATACTTCACGTATCAAGCTACACACATAGACCACACCATGAACAGCAGACAAATTCCAGGATTCTGCTTTTCATATGAAATGTGTGCAGCTCCAGCTGTCGGCTTCCGGTACTTAAGTAGAGTTTCCAATTAGAGGAGATGGCCCCACTCATCTTCGCACTCTTCACGAGAGTCCACCTAAAGAAATGTGCGGAAATTCACCTACGGAGACCTTTCGAGATTTTGATCTATAGAGACCTATCGGGACCTGTTGGGACACTGACCAACTGACATCTTTAACTATGACACAACTCTGCCAAATAATGCATTTAAAACCCCAAAATCACTGCTTGGATGAATTCACTCTGAAAATATGAGATAGCTCTTACGTGAGATTCATGATAGGTGATATCCGACTGCCATCGTGAGCTAGACAGAAAGCATCCAAATCTTTAGTCCGCTAGAAAGATACGTCAGGGAGATGCAGTTGGAGAGGAGAGTTGCCGCTATGCGTTCTTCATCTTGTTATCTGGGGCTGTGTCGACGAACAAATATTTTCTTTTTCAAAGAATCTTTGATACTAGTTCCTCGACTAACAAATTCGCCTGCAAACCCTTTACTTTTTATCACGTTCTTCTCCCAGGTAAGTTTCATACCCCCTTCTAACGTACCAGCTGGTAAACCATGATGCGAAAGGTTGACCTTGAAATGCGCCACTTCCGTGACGCCTTTCTTGAAGCAGGCCACAGCCTGACCCAAGGGGATGACTCCATAGCCCAGTGCATCTTCGTCTGAATCATGATCAAGAACTCGGACTAATAAGTATTCTTTGTCCACTCGTTGCAAGGGAAACGTACTCAAAACCAACGTCGGAAGTTCTTGTAAAGGATTCCACACAGGATTTAGAGTCTGGTGTTTCACTTTCGAACAAAATTCTTGTAACAAATTGGGGCCAACGAACGAGACAAATGGATCCGAGAAACCATTGATGTCCGATGCCCGAAGCTTCTTAGCCCGCAATGAAGTAAACCGGATGTGCCACCTGAAATTTTCAACATTTAGACAATCAGGAACCTGGCAATATTCTCAAACAGATAAGAATGTCACCATATAACCCATGATCTACAAACGTTGTTTAAGACGTTACCGATTTTCCAAGATGATAACCGACTGATGAAAGAGCTAGTACTGAGCAGCTGGTATAAAACTCCAATTTACTTTTTACAGAGTTGATTCACAAGAATTAGAACGGAAGCACTACCGCATAACTCAGGGAAGAAAATCACCCACCTCTTGTCATCCTCGTCGCTACCATCCGGTATTAACGTCGATGAAGGTAATGCATATGACGTCAATTTGTATGTTGCTCCGACGGGCTTGTGATCACTGGTGAGAATGCTGGGGGCAGAAAAGTACGAAATGAGATATGAATGGCACCCTTGTAAGGTCTTCCACAACACACGATCGCACCATGCAGGCATTCGTTTTTGATCGTAATGATCTGAATAATCCCTCTGCATCTTGAAAGTTGGGGGGAACGTGATCTCCCCTTCTTTGAAACCAGCAAGTACACGTGAGGCCCCTTTCTCCTTCCGTAGCTCGTCATACTTGAGGAGCTCCTTCCACCTGTTCTGATGAATTTGTTTCACAATTGTGGCCCAGAAACTCCGATCGGGAGTCAGCCCTTGGGGATCCAGTTTTCCGAAGTCCAGCCTGTAATTCAGATCTCCAAGCCAGAATATGTGGTGAAACTGGCTGAGTAAATCCATACTATCTAGTCCTACCTTCATTGACATTGCAATCTGTTTAAAATTGCTGTTCCGCGTCTCGCACTGCCCAACGTGGGCAGCTAAGTGGCAGTTCACGAAACATAAACCTGTGTCCCAGAATTTAAACGCTATGCACACAGCTCCTTTGTTTGCTATGACATTGCCCACTCCTGTCGCCTCACTGTCACTATCGACTTCAGAAATCGCCTTCTCTGCATCATCTCGAACAAACACAACAAGCCGCATCTGCCCTCGTGAGGTCGCATGAACAAGCTTATAACGATCACCAAAGTGCGACTTCAATGTATGAGTCCAATCCTTACTGCACTCTGTGAAGGGAGCACGCGGTGGATAATCACATTCCTGAGCTCCTATGGCGATGATCTCAAAGAAGGCATCGGTAGGTAGCCAGGGAGACAGATCTGCTGGAGGGCGAGCGTTTCCGACATTCCAGGTGCCCACAAACGCTGAAATAGTCTGTTCAGGTTCTGCCATCCCGACGACAATCTGCATCTGCAGTTTTCCAGGCATAAGCCTATTGCCACCTTTGGAGTACAGATCGTACCACTTGGTTTCAACATCCTTTCGGTCATTTTGCTCCTGATAACGTAGGTTTCAAAGTATACGTTAACAACCTCTTCTGTTGAAAGAAGTATTTGTGATTGTAGAGGAAGCTTTCTTCATGATCAAAACAGATCAATCAAAGAACGCAGTAGATTAAATGAGCTTAATTTCAATAAATCTCGAGTGATGATGTTCGCACAAACAACCTTCCTTTGACTGTAGAAGGATTACAGATGGACAATTAGCTGCAAGCAAACAGGGGAACTAAGTTTATACCTCAAGCAAGTTGAGAACACACAGAGGATTGATATGTCCAAGGGCTTCTTCAATACCAAGCACTCCTCTTGCCACAACTTGAAGTGTTATCTGAGCAGTCTTCAACTCCCTAACGTCAAAAGTGAAACTCTGGTTCACGTTAAGAATTCCATCCTGCAGATTCAATCAACCAGAGTCCCCCTTCCCATGTTCAAAAGTCGTTCTCTTCTACACATATTCATGAGGTAAACGAACATTTACAATGTACAACAGGTATGCATCAGAGAGTTAACAAAGAATGTAGCCATAAACTTTGGCACTTAAGTGCTATTAAACCCATCCGAACGATCTTCAATGAGATTCTATACCCGTCTTCGCCTCGTCAAACTAAATGTAAAAGGTGCAAAGTCTATTCTATTGCAGCCTAACAAAAGCTCGCATAAGTTCGCCGATAAGGTCCGTGAACGGTTTTCGTCAAAAGCACTATTAGTACCTGGTCGACGCCAGTCTTAACATCTTTTGATTTTCTCATAGTTTGTTCCACTCGCACTTTGAAAACAGGGTCTCTTGCATCAGGAGCAGTTCCAGATCTCTTCAAGTCTTTTGCAGCAACTATAGTCACCGTCACTCGGCATGCCCTGTCTGTGCTCGTAACATGAGAACCGTTGGATCCTGAAGCAATGTCCTCTAGATCAAAGGTACGACCATTGCTCCCTCCAGAATGAGATAATTTGTGCACCTTGCTGTTTCTACGATGGTCTGTTTTCTTCCCAATGCCCACTCTGAAGGAGCCCACTTGCGAGCCCTCTTCGAACTTTGGAATAGTCTCAGCGGGATAATTGGGTAAAGCTTCAGCAATTTTTGAAAGTTTAGACCCTTCCATTTTCCACTAATTGAATTCCAACTCACCTGCATCTAAGCAGTGGACTTGAGCACCAAAAACCGAACCTACTCTTGGGTTTCTTAAAGGAAACACTAAACGATGAGCAATAGGAGCAGCTTAGAAAAGCTCGAACGTGTAGCACTTTAATTGAGATGCAAATGACTTTCTTTGTCTCTTCCCAAGCTTCACACGAAGTTTCCTTAAGGACTGCAAATAGACAACACAACAGATGATCACAAACAGCACATAATTCAAACAAAGTGAGAACGACGACCACACAGCTCGATGCGGTCGATACTTTCAGTGCCTCACCAATCGGTTCAAGAGTAGATTGGCATCCCTTAAGTTCCGAGGAAAATTAGAACCCGCTAGTAAGATCATGGCTGCTGCTAAAATTCGGCATTCTCCCCCGGTGTGAAGGAGGTCACATTAGCAAATCTCAGGACTCGGACTGGGAGAGTCCCCCACACTCCACTCCCCCCATCCCCTCCCCCGCCCCCTGAACTTAGCAAAAATAAAAATAAAAATAGAACCCACTACAGCATGACACACAGAAATAGCTTTCATGCTCAAAGATTGCTTGAGTAACAGCGACTCTTCCCTGTCGAAAGCAGAGCGTCGCTGCAAACCTCCTTGGGGCGAAACGGACTACCGACAACACCAAGATGTCAGACGACAAACAGGAGGAATTGGTCAGTGAAGTACCTGACACTTGCTCACGTAGACGGCACGAACGTCCTGGTGCTAGAAGAAGGAACAATGTTTTCAGCACCGCAACCTTATGTACGCGATCAAAACAGCTCTCCCCCACAAAAGAAGACAATCGACATGACGTAAGGGTGAGATCCCCACCTTCCACGTCACAGAAAAACAACTCCAAAAGGCTCTTCCACTACTCATGCTGCTCTTTTCGCGATGACTTCACCTCCTGGCCCCCCAGCCTCGGTGACAAACCTATAGCCAGCTTCCTCCTCCCTCCTCCTCCTCTAACACCGCATTATGTCATCATGTAGCAACAAACCCATTGTAATGCCGGACAATTCCTCCGATCACCTCTCCCCCTCCTCCTCCTCAACCGCCTATCTCCACAATCCTCACTCACCCCACATCTCATCTTCACTTTCAGATAATTTCACAACAATCCACCCTCCTCTCCAACACCCTTCATCGTGACCACACCTGATAAACATTGTTTTTAACAATCGCCATTACCCTTAATCCATCCTGACACAATCACAACACTGCTACACTGACCCTAATCTCGAAAACTGGAAAAAGAAAAGGATTTTTTTAAAATAATAAAACAATAAAATCCCAGCTTGTTTCGAGAACACCTCACCATCAGGAACCCTCGAAGGCAAGCCTTCGTAGCTCAGCCATGGCGGTAGATCAAACCCAGTTCAGAAGCCACAGGGCATCGTCACCATCATCATCATCATCTTCTTGCCTCATATCAGGCCAGAGAAAAACGGCATTCAAAGCAAGCTATGCTAGGATTGGGGATCTGATAACAGATCTTCCCCTGCTAGGGTTAGGCAAGCTCATGATCGTGGTCACTTCCGAGGTGGCAAAAACTACAAGAAAATAACAGAAAACAAAATACACAACCTAACCAATCCAACAACACAAACATGAATACACAAACAAACAAACAAACAAAGACTAACTTAGTTGGAAATCCAGACCCCCGAAATGGTCTCCGCACCTCCACTTTCTCCGCAGAATTATTTGTCCTAAACAAAGTGCATTTCCCACTATCCGATCCGCATTTGGCATGATCAATGAATGGAATTCGCCGTTGGATCGGCAATTGCTTCCTGCAATTTTCACTTGCTTGCTCATGTTTTCATCCTCATGTTGAGCTCAGTTTAGTTTCATGCTTCTCAACCTTTTCTATTCGATATGGATGGGCTGTGTAAATGTGTGTGTTTGTATAGTATGTTTTGTGGTTTAGCTGCCCGTAAGGTTTTCAATTGTTGTTATCTTTTTATCCTACTGTGCACTAGGCTTGCATTGATTCCTGGGATATGTGTACAGCTTCAAAAGTTACACTTTGTTTGAAGTTTAAGGTTAGTAGTTTTTTGGTGAGGGTAAGGTGGAGGATGTGATGGTTACTGTGTAAGATAATGAAGTAAATTTGTATTCTTATACATACATACATACATACAAACAAACAAAAATCAAATGGTAAAGACATCTCCAAGGTTCATTCAATAGTAGTTGGTCGTTAACTGAAACGATGTTTTATTTTTTATTTTTTTATAGATTGAATAGTGGCAATAAAACTAAGGAAAGAGAATTTGAATGCATTTTATTCTTAAAAAACGAGTTCAAGAACATTCATGGATTTAAGGTACAACATTCTTTGTTGAAAGAATATCTTTCTTTTAAAATTTATCTGACGAAATTATAATTTTTTAAATATATATATCTGTTATAAAATTTTCAAAGTTGTTTTGTGTAAATATTAAAAAAATTATTTCTAAATTATTGCCACTGTCTATTAACAAAATGTTTGTAAATAAATAAAGAATATAATATAATATTTTAACCTTTAAATCAATAATTATATAAAATGAAAATTTACACTGTGTGTGGCACTTTGGTACTATATATATATATATATATATATATATATATAATCAATTTTGTATTAATTCAAGTAGAAAATGGTAATTAACATTTTATTTGGTACTGTAAGTCAAAAGCCATGGAAACAATGATTGAGAAATAATAAAGTGGTGTAATGTCTTTGCAAATGTCAAATATTTATAGAATAAAACTTCATTATGGTATACTGGAATGGCACAAATAAATACTGTATTGACTTCTAACTCATAAATATATAGCATTGAAGCATCAAAATATTTTAATGAAAATGGTAAAAGAAAATTTGTAGCCTTTGAAAGGTCAAATAGAATCTAAGACAATATATGTGATTTATTAAAGAAAAACATGTGGTTTTAATAAAACCAAATTAGTGCAAAGCTTACAAATAAGGCTTTAGAATTTAAACAATAATGTATCATGAATTTTACTCTAAAAATATTATATTCTTTATTAACATAATGTCTATATAATAATTAATAATCACTTGAACCAATTTACAAAGAAAATGTATACAAAGGTTTTATATTTTTTAATTTAATTATATCATCTAAACATTTAAATTACTTGGATAATTTATTCTAGAATAAAAACGTGCTTACAAGTGTACAACTATGTTGCTTTACTGTAGAACCAACTTGCTTTTAGAAATGCCTACTTTTCAAATGATAAACTTTTATTTGATCTTGTAATATGCTTCATTGCAACTTTTTACATCGTAAAAAAATGTCTAAATTTTAATTTAATTCAATTTAATTTATTTGATTTTGAAACTAAGCTATCAAACAACTTTTTGAGTCTACTTTACATTTAATTTGAATGCTCTAAGTGTAGTTACAGGATTCTATTTAATTACAATAAAAAATTCACACTATTTATTATTGATGTATATCTTATAGTACAATCTTTGAAGTTAGATGGACTTGTAGAAATAGTTCCTTTGTATCAAAAAACCTCAACAATCTGTTATAAAATATCACTAGTGATATATATATATATATATATATATACATATGATTTTTCAAAAATCTCAAAAAACTAAATTTATAGAATACAGTATCATATTATGTTAGATAAATGCAATGTATATATATATATATATATGTTTGACATGTTTTTTGGCTTTTTCTTATTTTATTTTTTTTTATAAAAAATAAAAGTTGATTTGTAAAAAAATATGATATTTTAAATTTATAGAATGTTTTTATTTACTATAATTTAGTACTTGCAAAGAAGATGTATTGTGAATATTTTAAATTAATAATAACTAACAACCTACTTTAAAAGATTATATCAAATAAATTTAAATGCTAAAATTCAAACTATATAATTAATTATATAATTTATAAATTAATAATAATCTTAAAAATAAATACATGTAGAACTACATTTTTGATAAAAAAAGCTTTAAATTCAAAAATAAATTGTGGTTTTAATTAAAGACTTTATCTTTTAACAATAATAATAGAATCATTTATAAAACTATTTCTTTTGGTTAGTAATCAAATATCATATTGTTACAAAATATTAATATATTTTTAGGAAATTACCAAAAAATTCTAAATTATTAAAAAAATTTTCTACAAAACCAAAGTTTCATATTATAAATATCAAATATATTAATTTATTTTTAATTTACATAATATAATAATTCTTAATAAAAAATCAAGGCTAACTATATCAATTGCAGAAGAAGAAGAAGAATTTTTATTTTCTAAGTCGTTTTAATAAATGAAAATTTGTTAAATATAAAAATAAAAATAAATAAAGATAAATATTTTCTATAATAGAAAAAACTTTTTAATTAAAATTTAATAAAAAAATAAATATATTTTTAAAATAATAAAGAATGTCATATGTATAAAAACATTAAAGCAAACTATTATGTTATTATGTGATTACTATCAAAGAAGTATATTGTATTTTATATTAATTTAATTAAACAAAAAAACTAATAATTCTTATTTTTTAATATAATAAAAAAATTAATTAAATCACTTAAATATTCTTATATATATAACATGTTTATAGCTTATAAAAAAGACTTGATTCTTAACTAAAAAAATATGTATAATTATTTTTTGTGTATATGAATATAATTTGTATATATAATTTAGAATAATAGGCTAAACTTGGCTCTAGGGCTCTATGAAACTTCGAGCTATTCTTTGACTTTGATCAAAAATTCTAAGAATATAACTATAAGAGAGATCTTAGTATTGAATGAAACTTTTTGTTATGTGCTATCATTGGTGTTGTAAAGTGTATCTTTAGTAAAATACTTTGCATCTAATACAAGTCAATTTAGTTAAAATAGATACAAAATTGATAGCTGGTTGGGATAGAATAATATTAAAGAACAAGTCTATTACCACTCATGTAGTAGCAAGGCCATTAAGATGCACAAAATAAAGACCATTGTAGGAATAATCAATATTAATGTAGGAATCTATTAGAAGTAGGAAAGTACTCAATAGCTACTTGAACTCTAAGCTCAAACCACATAGAGCTCAAGATATACACATGACTAATACACATACTTGTAGCATTATTTAAGAAGTATAATCAAAGAAGGAATACCATCCAACTGATCCAACATATACAATTGGTATACTAAGCTACTGAACTTCAATACATTTTTAAGTAAACTTCTATCATTTTTTTTAGTTGTTTCTTTTATTATTTGATTTGAAAGACATTAAATTTCACACTTCAGTTGAAGATATAGAATTATAGAGTGTCCAATCTTTTCCATCTATGAAATACACTTCAACAACTTCAACATTCTTTTTTAATAAAAAAAACTACAACCTTTCAAAATATAAGATCAATATATATTTCAAAATCTTTAAGACCATTTGAAACCAAATATAGAGGAGGCAGTTCACATAGCAATATTTCTTGAAGAAATATCCACATTTAGGTCTTATCTTTATAAATACAAAATATGACAAAGTTGTAGCCTTAGTTATCAAGGTAGCTTCAAATTTTATAAGATTTTTAAAAATATACTATCTCTAATTTCACCAAGAATGAAATCTAATAATGTAAGAAAATTATAAACTTTTGAAGGACCTATCTTCTATTCTACAAGAGATCTTTAATGTCTTACAGCTCTAAGCAATCTTCTATTCCAAAAAAGATCTCTAATCTTCTACAATTTCAATCAACCTTCAATATTTAGTCAACAAAAGAATCAACAAAATAATTAAATTCTAAAGAATATAATAAGCCATAAGACGACTTGAAGTGACCTCTACCTTTGCAAATTATAATAATATTCAATCATCTACAATCTTATAAAGGCAAGATAAATAACTTGATAAACTTCATGGTATTAAGATACAAATTGGACTAGACTTTAGGAGCTAAAAGATTGTTTTGATAGGCCAAAAAAAACCTATATAAGTCTTTTTTTCAAGTCATGATTATATCTAATAATTATTTTAAAGTCTAAATTATATAAGAAGAGGACACAAAAAGAATTTTGATAAAACAAAGTTGAATCCTAAAAGGAGGCAAAATTAACTTCTACAATTGATCTCTTTATTTCAACTTAGATTTACTTCTCATTAAGTCTTATCTCAAAGTTGGAGTTTAGGCCCAAATTCATGAATTTCTATCATTTCTTTAAATTTAAAAATTTCTATACGAAATCTTTGAGATATTTTGCAAAATGTCAAAGACATGAATATTAAAGAACTAAAATGTCAATACATTCTTGTATCACTAATAGAAAAAGGTCTAAACTTATAATAGTCCAACTTGTCACAGGGATGAGTGGTCTTGATATTCCAATGAAGTAGCTATATCTTGTCACGTACGTTGAGTTATAGTTATTCCTTCCAATAGGCATTCACATTGATTTTTTGTTATTCTTAAGTTTCTAATAACTGTACTTTTATTCTTGCATTTAGTTCTAATAAATAATTTGCCAAATCTTCTACTATAGGATTATTAACTTTTAAAAAATTAAAAATATGAAGTTGTGGATGTTAAACATATTTGGCAAAAAAAGATATTTTTTGAGTAGAAAAATATACCAAATTATTATATGCAAACTCCACCAATGGCAAAAGAACTGTCTAATCATTTTAATAAAACTTGTTAGTACACTTTAAATATTGCTCTAAAACTTGAT